CCTCTGAGTCAGCCTCTGTCCTATATTCTACCTAAGAAATGACTTGCCTGCCCTCTCCTTTGTCAGTCTGCTCTCTGCTTACATCTTCTGCTTAACTTCCCCTCCCAGGTCCTATTGCATCTCTTTCAGCTTTCAGTCTCTTGGATCATATCCTAAAGCATATAATGTCTGGTTGGTTCCACTTTTAGTGTTAATATCGTTTTAATGAAGGCCCCTTTGGCCTTGCTTTTTGCTTAATCTCTCTAGGCATATGCAAACAAATATTAAGCATTTACTTATTGAATATAACATTCAATTTTCTGCTTCTTAATCCTCCATCATCAGGCAACGTCCTCTACAGAGGTAAACCCAACAGTTTAAGCGGTTTTAAACAAAAAGGGAAGTGGAAAATACCTATTTTTATACCTTAAATTCCAACCTACATATCCTGGTGGGAAAACCAACAACAACCCTATCACAGACACACAAACTTTTATAGGAGCATATCTGTTTAAACCAAATATGCTTAGATTTTAAGGGAAAATACATGAATCCTATTTTGCACAGAATCATTTTCCTCAGTAGTTTTTCAATGCTACTTTTTCTCTGATGTTAAAAACTAAAGCCTAAGGGACTTCTGATAAAGTTGTTATAACTGCAGGTTCATAAAATTCTTTTCTCCCACATTTGCTGAAATTAACAAAAATGTAAAAATAACAAAGAACATACCATCAACCCTGAAACCAAGAAAAGATCTCAGCTTCATACCAGAAACTGAGAAGTGTCATCCAGAAAAAGAAAAACTGGACCAAATTGAAAGAAGGTGCTAAAAAAAAAAAAAAAAAATCAATATGTTCTTCAAAGAGAAGACTGGAACATGGAAGAGTACAAGGAGGGAATTCTGAGAAGTCTCTCTGCTTTTGAAGATTCCGGCATTAAGTATAAAGATACACCAGAGGGAAGGCTTGGAATGATCTACACTTCCTTTGGGGACCCTTTCTTCCATCAAAAAGACTGTCCTGGCAAGAAGAGCCAAGTATGTCTACCATCTTCACTGCGTCTGATGTATCAGCACGTTAGGGAAGAGAAAAAGCATCTACTGGGAATAATTCTTACAGCCAAACCAAGAAAAGCTCCAAAGACAAGGGAAAAAAGAATATTTGTCCCCAACCAGGCCAAAAGCCTACAATACACCCCAGACAGTGAAGCAAACTTCTGATGTATTTATTTCATTTGTATTAAGTAACTCAGTGCCAACTACCCAAAGCCCCAGCTCTCTGCTCTCTCTTTACTCCTCTCAGGCAGCTAAAAGACTGGATAAGTCATATAAATCATGGACATTCAGTCCATATTATCAGTGAAAGAATAATATCCAAACACTGTTTAAGGTAAATGACACACGGAGAAGGAGTGGCTCACATTCATTAAAGATTTTCTTGGTAATAATGACATGTGACTAAGGCAAAATAATCTGCACGTGCAGTAAAAACAAAAAACAAAAACAGTGACCTACTAAAGACAAAGATTTCAAATAGTTATAACTGATTCATACTGAGTTCCAGCTACCTACAAGCACTTTTTTAAGTGTTTCGTGTGTATTGACTCCTTTAATCCTCAAAACAACCCTCAAAATGAGCACCATTATCATCCCCATTTTACAGATAAGAAAACTAAGGCACAGTGGAGTTAAGAAGCTTGTTCAGGTTTACCCAGCTGTTAAAGTGAGGCCAGGATTAGAACACAGGCAGTCTGAGTCCAGAGCCTGCTCTCAGCTACTCTGCTCTTATGCATTGGTCATTAACGATCATTTGAAATCTTTGTCTTTAGTAGGCTATGCTACTTTCTTTTTTGTATGTGTGTATTTTAGCCTTAGTTACATGTTGATGTGACCTGGAAACTCTTCCGTGAAATGAGCCATTCCCTCTCAGGGTGCCATTCAGCTCAAGAAACTGACAACATTTTAAGCAACTGCTTTACACTCTCGAGGAAATTAAAGAGAATGTGAATTTATCAGCCATGCACCCTTGCTTGGAAGCTCCTGTAGGGAAGAAAACCAAGAAAAAGAAAGACATCAACTCAGATATCAGGGATCCAACGCAGAAGAGTAGTTTTAAAAGTCTCAGGAACGGAACTGTGCAGTAGATCTAAAGAGCACAAGGTGCACAGAGGATATCAAAGAAAAAGATTCAATCGATGTGCTTGGCAATTGAAAAATTATTGCTCATCATTCTATGGGTCTGTTAGAGCATTTGGCCAAAAATTAGCAGTAGGTAAATAGGAAATAAAGCAGACTTTTAAAATGAGACAGTTATTTGAAAACAGACTCATAGATAAAGAGAACAAATTGGTGATTGGCAGATGGGAGAGGGGGTTGGGAGGCTGGGTGAAAAAGGTGAAGGGATTAAGAAATACAAATTGGCAGTTACAGAATAGTCATGGGGAATATAAAATCCAGCTTAGGGAATATGATCAATAATATTATAATAACTATGTATAGTGCCAGATGGGTTCTAGACCAGTTAAGGGGATCAATTTGTAAATTATATAAATGTCTAACTACTATGCTCTACACCTGAAACTAATATAAAATAATTTGAATGTCAACTCTAATTGGAAAATAAAAATTAAAAAAAACTAAATAGCAATAGAATTTTTAGTTTGATGATTCAAAGAAAACATGAGCAGTAAGAAAACAAATCTACATATTAAAAATAAATTTAAAATGAGATAGTTATTAACTATAAGGAAAAACAAATTTACATGACAAAGTAATGAAAGGGTAATCACATTAATACTCCTTAGTACAGTGGTGAATTTAAATGTCATAAGTAATACAGTATATATGCATATATTATGTAAGTTATTTATGCAACATATAATATGGTTAATATAGCATATAATAATGTAAACACTATCAATTTTTAAATTTTAAATGTAATTATTTGGGGGATGATAAAGGAGAGGTAAGAATGATGGTGAGAGAGCTAAATCACTAACTTCTGTAATTTGGATAGTATCTAAAAGAATCAACCAAGAGATAACATTATGTATATTATTTATAAATGCTAAAAGAAGCAGTTAAAATAGTTTGTGTAGAACGAGACTGTGAGGTAGGGAGGTGGGGTTAGGTGGTCAGGGGGAAGGATTGCTGTCTTTATAGCATTTTTTGTATTATTTGGTTTTTCAACTGTACAAAACCTAAATAAACCAAGAACACAGATGAAATTTTAAAGGTTGTCAAAAGAAAACCTATGCCCGAAGAGCACTTACTTAATAAATGTTTTTTTCAAATTACTAAAGAATCTAACCAAAAACATTTGAATAAAAAGCTCTATAAAACACTTCTTGAAAGTGAAAGATTGGTTTCCTATATAGATGTGGCTCCAGGGAGTCTTAATGTCCTTCCTTTAAAAAAGAAGGAGCGGGGAGGGCAGCAAACAGTATGAAACTTTAAAAATGTGTTTCCTTTAAGAAATTGAATCACAGACTTCCACCCTGTAATTGTATTCTTTTGGTTTTTCAAGATACTAAAGAAGGGACCTTTATTTTAGCACTTGGGTGGAGGCGTAACAAAGCCATCTGTATGATGGATTCAGCTACAAGAGAGCCATTTTGACTAAAAAGGGTTTCTGTACTGATGCCACATGCATTGATGAGTTAGTTTCCATTGCCTCGTTGTCTTTATCTATTCTGTGTATGTGTGAACTCTAGGTTCCCATCACAAATCGCTCCTATGTCTTGTTTCCCCTCTATATTGGTTTTTCTGGACCCATTAGTTCCTTTGTGGTCCCCTGATGACCTCCTCACATGTGGCATGCAAACAAATCTATTTTTATTGTGCAGCAGGCTGAAAAAAGGAGAACATTGCAAGCTCACAGTGCCGGTTTAGGAGTCTGCGTGAAAACAGACTTAAAATGAAGCTATCGTGTGAGTTTTTCTGAGAGAAATTGGTGGGCACCAGTCGGGATTTGAGACGAAATAAACCTAAGTGAATCTGGCTTTGAACTAGAGGTGGCAAATGTTAGTCCAAAGAGGACGGAAACAGGGAGGGAAGCAACACCACCAACCTAAGAGTTGGAACGGTCATTTAAGGGGCAGTAGTAATTATCAACTGGAGCTTGGTGGCGTGCGCAGGGAGTTTATCGAAGAAAGCAATTAGAGTATTGTGAGGTGTTGGAGACTGTAGTAGCAGAAGGGAGAAGAAAGGAGTTCATACTGGAAATATGTGAAAGAAAGGGTCAGGCTGGTGGTGGAGATATATAGGGGAAGGGCCAACGATGAATCGAAGATCATACCAAATTTCTTTTTACTTGAGAGATTGAGAAGTATGGGAACCTAGATAAATTGTCCTCCAAGAATATATCATTGTCTCTGACTTCCCCATGCTTGGCCTTGAGACATTTATATATTGTCTGATTCATTTCTGAGAACTGAAAAAATTTTAACAAAGATTCGTATGGTATTAGTTGT